GGGTGGCGGATGACACGAGAGGACTGGATGAACTGCTCGTTGCCCTCGGTGACCCTGATGTTGTGCTCTCCAAGACGCACCTCCACACGGCTGGAGAGGAAAGAGAGGTTTAGTGGCAGCTGAGGTCCACGATTCCTGTGAAAAGCAGATTGATTATTTGTCCTCCATAATTTGACGTTAGACATACGATTTGTAGCAGTGAGCGGCAGACACCACCCAGTTCTCGTTGACCAGGGAGCCACCACAGAAGTGGTAGCCGGTGTTCAGGGACACCGTATGGGCCTGGGTGTGAGGCGTGCACTCATACCCTCCGACGATCTTGTCCTCCTCCGTGGCGACTGAAAACACACCGGAGGCCAAATGGTCAGAAAACAAGTGACGCTTTTTTTCCCTTCTATTTAGTAATCAGAACAAAAGCAGAAAGACATGCTTACAAGCAGCTCCGATGAGCAGAACGAAGACCAGAGACCTCATGGTTGCTGTGTGATGTTGTCGATGAGAGACTTAGCCTGGAGTCCTGGTTTATATGCATCGGTTGCTCTCCTGTTTCCTTGTTGACCACACCCCCAAGGTTATTTTTGACCAATCGGGTCAAACGTGGAAAAATGATTATGGGTATTGGAAATCCACATATTTTGTTGGCTATGGAAAACTCTGTATTTGCATACTGCATGGCTGAAAATTGTGTTATCAGTACATATTTTAAGAAGCATGTTCAATGTAGTTGTAAAGGAGGCACATTGGGGAAACAAGCATATAAATGCATTTTAAAATACAATACAACAAACGTGTGTATTCATATGAAAAAGCATTATTCATATAAAAAATGTTTGATGTGTGCATAACGCATGCATGTCCCTTAAATTAGTATCTAGTAAAACTACACATGAGGCATATTTCTAGACTAAACATTCCTTGTGACATTGTTTGTAGAACACATGTGGATTTGCATCTGTGTTCAGCACAGGATGTATTTTGTAATCGCTAACGTTGACATGGAAGGATTTGAGCTGTGAAGACATGGTTGCAACTCTGCAGATGGCCGGGTTCACAACCACAGTTGTTGAATGTGGCTTTCACAGGAAAACCAACCCACGTGTCTTTAGATAGCACGCCTCAAAGAAAGTAGATTTATGAAGTGAAAACCACTTAAGCGCACAATTACTATATGAAATCAGCAGTAAGGACACCTCACACTGACTACATTTAAATGGGATTGCATTTTTAGGTTTCAGTGTCATTGTCTTTAACGTAATCTGATGTTTTTATAGCATTGTTGTAGTGAAAATGGATATTGACGAATAACTGACTAAGTACCTCGATATCTGGGTTAAAATTGAGTGCAGCTCTGCTATCGGTGAAGTTTGAGTCAACCTTGTAAATTTGGATGTTTAGTGGAGGAGCAGCTGTCATTTCACATGATAAATATACATGAAGCATATGAATATCTGTGGAAGATTAACCAGAACAGGTGCAGTCTGAAGATTGAAAACCCATACAGTGTTTCGAAGGATTCAGAATCCACTATGTAGAGTATATTTTCTTAGTAAACGATGACATTTGTTCCAGGATTTTCCCGCACTTTTATATGACACTGTTTCAGCCCTATTTTAATTGCACAATATTCGTCAACATTGACGGACAAATGTCTAATTTATTCTGAGTGAACATGAAAATTGAGGTTTGTGAATTGATTAAGGTTATTATGAAATATTGTACTATGTTATGCTTGTAAGTAAGGTGCTCTTGATTATATCTTGACTGACTGCTTTAGTACTGAACAGCGAGTCGGCCTTGAGTGAAGGCCTTCTGTGAATCATCCAGCTGTTCCAGCCATAATGGGTTGAATATTATTAGATCACTCAGTCACCTGAAATTAACCACCTACATCTAGTGGTCTATCAAGTTTTTATTTTGACAATTATTGGACCAATCAGGCTGCTTGGAGTAGATATAAAACATGGTTTAACACTGACGGCACCACACGCTGCAGCCATGAGCTGCCATCTTTTATCTCTGCCAGTCGTATTGAGGTGCGTATTGGAGAGCACCACATCGGAGTGACTGAGGGCACCGAGCAGTTCATTAGTGCTTTCCGTATCATCCAACACCCCTTCTTCAACCCTTACACCCTTGAGAATGACATCATGCTGCTCAAGCTGAGCGAGCCCGCCACCCTCAACCATTACGTGCAGCCTCTGTCTCTGCCCACCAGCTGGCACCGTGTGCAAAGTCACTGGCTGGGGCAACACCATGAGCTCCAGTGAGTAGAAAGCAGTTATCGCAGGCAAACCTTCTGAAACTGTGTCTAGAATATAAAAATCTGCCTACAATCTCCAACAATTCATCCCAACTGCACTTTTCCCTCTTTTGTTGTCTTGCTCCAGCTGCTGACAGCCAAAGGCTACAGTGTCTGGACATCCCTATCCTGTCTGATGAGGACTGTCACGGTTCCTACCCCGGCATGGTTGACCACACCATGTTCTGTGCCGGATACCTGGAAGGAGGCAAGGACTCCTGCCAGGTGCGCATCTCTGAATTTTCAACATAGTTTTTCAGTCCTCTCTAATTCAAATTTGCTTTATTGCCATGACATGCTATAATTCGTTACAATATTGTAAAGGTTCACATTGTAAGTATAATAATTCTCTCTCTCTCTCAGGGTGACTCTGGTGGGCCTGTTGTGTGTAATGGTGAGCTGCAGGGTGTTGTGTCCTGGGGCTATGGGTGTGCAGAGAAGAACCACCCAGGTGTCTACGCCAAGGTAACATTTCACTGCAACAGCTGAAAATATAACTATCACCCTCCTTAATGTATTTTATGTTACGCTAAAACAAACAAACTAATATCTCTTCATTTTCAGGCGTGTGTGCAGACTGAGTGGCTGCACGACACAATGGCCAGCTATTAACGCCACCATTCAACCTTCACATCACACCCACAATATTGACTGTCCAAATGGTCACTTTGTTTTTGCAGCAGTTGAAGTAAAACAAATAAAGTGTTTGAAATTAATTGTTTGCTCTTCTGTCCAATTATTATTTCCTTTCTATTAAAACATATTTTTATAATTAATGCAACTGTAACATCAATGTCTTATCTAAAAAATCTAAAGAGGTTTTTCAGCAAATTACAGAGATAAGAATTTGCTCTTAAGTGAACGGGAAAGTAAATAAAGTGGGATATATATATTGGTTTTTTTTTATCCAATGAGTCTATATTAAAGACACATACATCAAAAAGGTGTTTGTAAACTATTATTATTTCTAAATCATCACTTCACCATCTCTCGGCCTCTGAAGACAGATGTTATTTTTTCACTCTGAGACCAGATGTGGTGCAATAGAACTTTATACAAGTGAGACTATCAGTAGTGGTTAAAAGTATATATGTTTTTTTCTTCGGTTGGGTACTTTAAATGTCCAATGTGCACTGAGGGAAAAAAACTAGTTAACTTTACTCTGAATGATATCTGTTCTGTGAAACGACTTGCCTGAGGATCTCAGGCTGGCAGAGTCCATATCAACGTTTAAACTCACTCTTCAAAACACATTTGTGTCATTAGGCATCTTCATAATAACTCTTTTGTTGCCTTGCCTCTTATTTCCAATATTTATTCATGTTGTAAAGTTAATGGCACTACTCTGTGCCATTAACTTTTCTGCCTACTTCTGTTTGTTTTCATACGCGCACTAGAAGATATTACATATTGCTGCAAAGTGCTTTCTTCCAGTGGTGGAATGTAACTAAAGTATTTTTACTCAAGTACTGTACTTAAGTACAATGTTGATGTATATGTGCTTAATTTGGGTATTTTCCATGTACGTGTCATTATACTTCTACTCTACTACGTTTCAGAGGCAAATATTACCTTTTTTAATGGATACATTTATTTTACAAATAGTTACTTTTATTTAACACAAAAATATCTTATGAATCATGATGCATTATTATAGAATAAATCTTATATATATATTGGCAGATTAGACGTATACAGGTTGGAGTTGTGCTAAGCAACGCTGGGATTCACATGAGGTCACGTTGTGCTAACAAGAAGGATAAAGTTGTAACTTGTCTTACAACAACACTAACTTGTTCACAAAAGACTAAAGAAGTGCCATATTTACAGATATTGGTGGGTCTGTAATGTAATACTCTGGAATGGGCCATTCTGCATAAAGAGTACTTTTACTTTTAATACTTTAAGTACTTTTTTCTGTTAATACTTCGCTACTTTTACTCAAATAGTATTTAAAATGCAGAAATTTAACTTTTACTTGAGAAATTTTTTTTTAAATTGTGGTATTGTTACTTTAAGTAGAGGATCTGAGTACTTCCTCCAACACTGCTCTCTACCTATTTATTGAAACCTGCCTAATAAAAAATATTACAAAGATTATCATTTCCTTTTCAAGGCAGCCTCACCCCTCATATCTGATTTTAGTTTTTAGGTAACAGGTACTGAGAAAAACACAGCTGTGAGATACTGTGTTCACACACATCTAAATATAAAGGTGACTTGTTTACCTGTACAACCTGACCTGAGAAACGTGGGCCAACTTTCAGGTGGTGGCTTGAAACCTTTACTAAAATAGAAGCAGCAATATTGAATATCTCCTGAAAAAAACCCTGCATTCAAATCTTTCAGTAAGTAGTAGGACTACGCACTGTGAAAGATTGTCCCCTTACAGACATGCAGTTTACTTATTGAAGTTTTTATATAGAAATGAGTTAGACAAAGTGGTGCTGAGTCAAACTCCATGTACTAAATCGCAATAAATCACAATTCTGCTGAGTAACTCCACCTGATAGATAAAAGAAGCGGATTGAAACACGTGTTCCCTGACATGTAATTGAGTAATATAAAGTATAAAACTAGACTGGTATATAGACTATCGCTGTATTGCAGCACAGTGCCTGCACCTCAAAACTGCACATAGGTGTACTAAACTGAAATCTTTAACCTCATCAAGCTAGTCAAGATAAAAGCCACTCCTAGTATTAATAAAACAATATATTTGGCTGAATATGTAGTAATGATTTCGTTTTGTTTCATTTGACACCAATGCTCTTTTTTATCATAACATTAAAAACAGTGACGACATAACAATAATAGGATCAACCCTATGATTCAAGCGAACACATTTACTAGATATTAGAGATTATAGAATCATTATTTTTACTTTTAGTGTAAATTAATAAATACATAACACAGGAGCTAATATGATCCATATTCATACTCTCCCTCATGCTTTTCCAAATTCACTGACAAGAAAGTCATCCCGACTTCTACAATTTTTTTTTTTTTTTTCATGTAATTCTGTAAATTAATCACAGAAGTCTAAGATCCCGCGACAGAGATTGGCCCCTCGCTGACCAATGAGGACGGAGGGAGTGGAGGGCAGCTCTCCTCTCTGTGTATATAAACCAGGGCTTCAGGTGGAGTAATATCATCAGGATCACACATCAACCATGAGGTCTCTTGTCTTTGTTCTGCTCATCGGAGCTGCATGTAAGTGTGAAGTTCCTATC